CATGTGAAGCTTCTGTAGCTCTTTGACCTACCAACACCATCAGCATTCACACTCTCAAGCGTATGAATATTATCAAAGAAGGTGGACAATGGAGCGCCCGTACTCAAGGGTTTGATGCAGAGTTGGGTCTCTCGACCTTACCCCTCGACGAGGTGACATAGAGGATGATGATGATTCACCACACCACATCCCAAGTTCAAGTGCTTCACGTCATACCAGAGGTTTTACATTCCCGAAGACCATTACAATATCCTCAACGGATGCATTGGCTCACTTACATCCTCTGTTGACGGCCTTGGTAGGATGCTTGACCAATTGTAAGTTCAACAAGATATAATTCAAGCTCAACAAGCGATATTGTAAGCTCAGTAAAATGCTTTTTATGCTCACTTCCCTCCACCCTCTCCTTCGGAGCCTTAGCTATGGTTTACATGTCACGCTTATGTATTTTGGATACATTTATGTTTAATCTAACGTCTTCATTCTATTAACTTTCATAAATTCACTTTTTTGTTGTTGTGGATGTGATATACTATATATTGACCTCTAAGTGCATCTTGTGTTACTTTAAGGCAGAATTTTCTTGCTATTATTGGTGCCTATGGTTGTCTTTTTGCTTTTATATAACTTGTTTTCGATCCCCTCTTTATACTTTTTGATTATGCCAAAAGATGGAAAAATATGAGATTATATGCATGTACCTTTTTTTGTTTATGCTTGATACGAATGTGATAAATTGATAAATATGCTTGGAATGGTTATTGACTTGTAAACGACAGGGGGAATATATAAATCACTTGTTATATCTAAGATCTTTATTCCTTATCAATTGTTACTATTTCTTTATACAACTCATCTTGCTCGTCATAATCAAAAGGGAATAAATTTTTGACCTATGGTTGACTTCATTCTTAATGTTTTGATCATAACGAATAAGTTAATTTTATTTCTGACAATTAAATTTAAGTTTTCAAAGCGCTTGTTGCAAAGATGATCAATTGAGGATAAAACAGCCACTGTGAAAAGACTCGCATCAGACGATTAATAAAAATCGAGATGGAAGTCATGCATCGAGATGCAAATCCTCCTCCGGAGTTTATTTGTGAGAAAACCCATTAAAAGTTAAAAGTTCAAATCAGGGGAGTTTTACTTACAAAAGGTAGCCATAACTTTGTTTGACACTCAAAGAGTGGCTGGTTTGATTTTAGCAGAGATGTGCAGCCCATTGGCAATTTGCATGGAACCATGCCATATTGTGAAGAAATTTACTGCACCTTCCCTTTTCATCAAGTTATATATATGTCCTGCAGATTTGTGAATAAGTATATACATATAAATAAAATCTTGAAGGTCGTCATAAGACAAATAGTTACGATGGATATGTTTGGAGTTTCTCCATTGAAAATACTACGGTTGTCAGTTTAATTGTTTCATTACCGATTTACCCCGGATGAAATGACTTTATTTTTCTCCAATATTCAACTTCATAGTATAAATGTTATCGACATTATAAATATTAGGTAGCTGTTAGTCTCTTGTGAGCCTTTCAGTAGTTAAAGTGATGCAAATTGATTATATATTTTTTATTATCATTTCTCATATCCCAGTACAATTTCTTGAACTATGGATTCGGGAATGAGGATATTTGTTTCTTCAACATTGCGCGGCGTATAATTTTTGTAGATTACTATCACTTATGTTGGATTATTTACAGTTGAGAGATGTAAGAAATCTAGTCAAGAATGAATACATTCGAACACATACCGAGGAGTAAAAAATTGAAAATATTAATTTTTTAAATGATATTGAAAAAGTGCCTGAAACTTTAATTTTCTAATGTTTTTATATCGAAATATGTAGCCGTGTCTAGCATAAAATTAAAATAAAATTTTTATATTTAAGTCAAAGTTAATAATTAGTTTTAACCACATATTTCATGAGATTCACAATTTTTCAACCACACAACCTAGTTAGACCTGCTGACCCTTGATCTATCTTTTATAGTTCAATGTCACTTTTCAAAACGCTAATCTTTATCGATGATAAGCTGTCCAAAATGGGAAATAGTTTATTGTGTTCGAAAATCAGTTACTAGAATCATAGTGTATCCTTGCTGCGGATATTTGTCAAAGACCAACGGACCATTTCACCCCTAGCCCTCTTGCCGAACCAATGAGATGCTTTTGCTATGGCTGCAGTATTGCGATATGGGAGAGGATCGGTTCTTTCTTCAACATGGATTCGTGCTGAATATT